CATCAAGTACTGACATGTACTGTATATGTAGGACGTTGCCCAAGGCTTCACTTATCTGTGAATGTTGATGGAAGTCTAACTTACTATGAAGAATTAATTACACTGTGTAGAGGAAGAAGCAGGCTCAGGCCAGGGAAATGCCATTATGCAGCTGCTGCCTCATTTCTCATGCAGCCCTTGGCCTGCACCTCATATTTGCATTCAGTGAACACGCCATTTGAGCACGTAAGCTGAACAATCAGAAAATGAGAAAAAAACTGGCAGGTTTCTAGAGAACCAGATTTTTTTCCTCTTTTTTGTTAAAGCACTGTTTATCAAACAAAAAAAGACAGGAGTTTCACCTACATATTTGATAAAATGAGAATTGTACTTTACAATTTTATAAAGTAACATTTCAGATATCATTAGCAAACAGAAGAAACGGTGCGATCCTTCATGCTGTTCTGTCCTTCATGTACACAGCTCTCAGGGTAATGCAGTTACTATCCAAAAACACACTAACCTAGCATTAGCTTACCTTCTTAGTCATCCATCCTGGTGAACCAGGAGACATGTAAAGGTTTCGGCTGGAAGGGGTCAGTTAGGATTTTGCAGTACCAATGTTTTACCAGCTTAGATACAGTATCCATACCGTTGCTGTCCAATGAAAAACACTTAAAAAATCCATTATTTCAGGGGCATGCAAAACGCATTTTCGCAGAAATCACTTTACAAAATAAACCTGAAACAATGCAATGAGACACGCATAGCACCACAAATAGATAACTGTCTTTACACTGCTGTCAGCAAACAGTTTAATGTTGATTGTTGCCATTGAGGCATATATGTCAGTGTCAACAAGTAATCTTGATTTATTTTCACAATTAACATTGTTAAAATTAGCAATATAAAGTAACAATATAAAGACCATCATGAATACAAATGATAACTAGTGCAAACATAAAAATTAGTTATAAAGATGACTTAATAATACATCTTTTCATTGGTCAATTATATGTTTAACGACACCAGTAGACAGGAGAATGGTGCAAGTCCATCTGCTGTAAAAAGTCAGAATCATCAAAAAGTGGATGCAGTTTGTATCAGACAGTAACGACATGTAACAAAGAGTGCTTTTCCACTGCAATAGGAATGGTACTTTCAGTACTTTCCCTTTTCCATCGACTTCCACACATACCAGTATCAAAAGATCCAGTATCAAAACTACCAAACTAGCTGGGATACTTTGTTGGTACTTCAGTACTTTGGTGTGGGATTTGCAAATGCTTTCTTAAGGTTGACCTGCAGCACTGAAGCACAAATGTCTGTTGTATAGGCTATAGTATAGTATAGTATAGTATAGTATAGTGCTCTCACATTATTATGAAATTATCATTCTGTTCTGGTCTCTTGTACAGTTTGTTAGGATAACTTACCACTAGACAATTTATGTTATTTTCAGTCACATATTATTGGTTACTATACTGGAACAGCTGAATACTCATATTAGCATGTAAATATGTGAACTGGGATATAATACAAAATCAACTTTTAGTGTCTACAGAAGACCACAGTCTTTTTTATTAAAGGCAGTATCCATGGTTAATCATCGATTACTACATTGATTTTAGCTGCCTGTTGCCTGCTAAAGTGAAACTGATTTACATATAACTGTTTCTTATGTGCTGATAACTGTGTTTTTCAGTTAAACTCAAATGCATTCAGCCTTAATTTTCTGGTCATCGTTAAAATTATTATTGCGTGAACCTGGCCAGCAGTTATATTCCTTTTCAAATAAGTATGTATGCTGTATGCAGATTGTAAGGGATTTCAAAATTATGATCTTAATATTTGTTCAGTATAAAAAGTGGATTGTCTTGAATTTGAGTTTGAGTATTAGTAAGTAAGCAGCGAGTGTGTTTGGGTGCCTTACATGCCTGTGGAGTTCTAGCCTCACTCCATCAGTGTAACAAAGGCTCAGTGTTGGCCTGGATGGACGGTTCCTGAGCAGCCCCGGGCGGTACGGCCCGGACGGGGGCAGGTGCGTGAGCAGCCCCGGGCGGTACGGCCCGGATGGGGGCAGGTGCGTGAGCAGCCCCGGGCGGTACGGCCCGGAAGGGGGCAGGTGCGTGAGCAGCCCCGGGCGGTACGGCCCGGATGGGGGCAGGTGCGTGAGCAGCCCCGGGCGGTACGGCCCGGAAGGGGGCAGGTGCTTTTCCATCAGGATGCCCACTAAACCTTGACTTCATAATGCATTATAATCCCTTATAATGACCATTAAAATACATTATGAAGGTACCTATAGTACATTATAGAGGAGAGCTTTATAGAACATTCATAATGCATAATAAATATTGACAAAATGTGTTCTGCATTTTTATTAATGGTTATAGCCGTGGTTATAATACTTTATGAACGCATTATAATGCATCATGAAGGCATCTATAATGCATTATGATGATTGCTTTAAGGAAAGTGTTACCGAGTTAAATTTAAATTTCATCAGTGTTGTCTTACTGTTAACTCAAATAATAGGATGCAAATCCACCGTCTTTGGAAGGATTTTTAGACACAAAGTGTAAGGACCAGCTTTTCACTGAGACAGCGAAATGCTAGAATTTCTTTTTAGATTAGATTGCCTCTAGAGGGTTGGTTTTGTATTGTTTCATTTATCTCTAATAAATAGTGTCAGAATAAATACACATTTTGTTCTTGTTTTGTAATTTCTGAAGAATAGCTTAAACACAGCATAATATTTTTTTTTATTATTACCTCATACACAATGCAAAGAAACGCCTTTAACAGTCTTCAACAGTCTGGCTTATAAAGCAGCAAGCAAATGGGAATTACAAGTCATTCTACAATCAAGTCAATTAACGCAGAGTTAGGACTTCATGTCTGAAAGCACTTTGCCACCTGCTTCTTAGCCGCGGATCAGAACCATGCCCTCCCTGATCATCAATCTATTTCCGGGGCAAAAGGAGCCTGGAATCTATCCCAGCAAGCCAAGGGTCTGAGATAAAGACCAACCTGCACAAAGCACACACAGGCAATCACACACTATCAGCTTTTTGATTATGGAGCTGTTTGATAAGAAATCACTGTAACAGATATAATAAAATAACAGATAATTAGTGCAAGTGGTTATGAAAAGTGACTTAATGTTTGTGCCATTAATAAAATGAGATAGCAGCTTGTGATGAGGGGATGAAAACAAACATTCAGTAGCATACAGGTGAGTAAATAAAAAGCAGATGAGTAATATTGTACAATCCGAATGAGAACCTAATGACATAAATGCTGAAAAAGATCATCTACAGAAAGGGGAAGAGTTATACAGTCTTATTGCCACAGGTAGAAAGGATTTCCTGTGCAGTTCAGTTCTGCATTTACAGGCAATGAGTCTTTTGCTGTGTGTGCTCTGATGACCCATCATGGGGGCGTGCATGGGGTGAGGGGGGGTCGTCCATGATACTGAGAAGCTTTTTCAGCTTTCTCCTCTCAGACACCTCCGCCATCTTCTCCAGTCTGACACCCAGGACAGAACCAGCCTTTTAAATCAGTTTGTTCAGCCTGTTGGCATCAGCTGTCTTTACCACACTGCCCCGGCACACAGATGCAAAACACTCTCTACTACAGGGTGATAGAACATAGCCAGCATTTTCCTACAAACACTGAAAGACCTGACCCTCCTCAGGAAGTAAAGCCGGCTCTGCCCCTTCTTGAAAAGTGTCGGTGTTCTTGGACCAGTCCAGTTTACTGTCAATGTGCATCCCCAGGTACCTGTAGTCCTCAACCACATCCATTCCTCTGATGGTTACAGGGCTGGGAGGAGGAGCCTGCCTCTTAAAGTCCACAACCAGTTCCTTTGTCTTTGTGATGTTAAGCTGTAAATGGTTCAGCTCACACCACTCAACAAAGCTGTCCACCACACTCCTGTATTCATCCTGCTGTCCATCCCTGACACAGGCCACAATGGCAGAGTCATCAAAGAATTTCTGCAGGTGATATGACTGAGACCAGTACCTGAAATCAGATTATGGAGTTCAGGGATGAAGCCTGTGTGAATGTCCATTTTTCCTGTGGATTTATTCCTTGTCTCAACTGCAGCCTGGTGTATATCTATGGAACATTTTATTAGCAATTCCGCGCACAACAATGCTAAAATCACACAAAACTAAAGGGTTTAACCGGCATGGAGGCAACTATCAGGAAATGAAGAACCGACTACTTGAAGATAGAGCTGTCTAAACACAGATAAGAAGAATGAAACCACAGATCTGGCAACAGACATTCTGCACAATGAGATGTTTTTGGTTACTAGAACAGCGTGAAAGGAGCCATTTGGCAAGTGTCTAAAGCTGAAAGTGACGTGTTAGAGCCTGCAACACCCCCCTCCCCCCCCCCACGTTCAAGAATGCTTATTGTGTTGTGGGCAGGGTTTTAGCTGGGGAAATGTGTGTAATGTTGCAGTTTGGTTCTGCATTAAAATGAGGCCCTCATTCTTCATTCAAGCTAATGAATAAAGAAACCATGCACATTTATACACTGAGTCTGGACCCAGAGTCACAACCCCCGACCCCCCCCAACTCTGACACACCTTATTTATCATTTCACTCAAGCACCAGTGTCCTTATGTACCTGTCCAAATGTGAATTAAAGTATTACTTTAACTCATCCATCTCATAATCTCATTACCTCTTTGTCCTATGCAAGGACCAGAGCCTATCCAGAAGTAAGAGACTGCCAATGACCTAAAGTCAGGCTTCTTCATCATATGTTACAGCACTGGGAACCAAAATTTACTCAGTCCTTGTGTACATTTCCAGCGCTCACTAAGTCCAAATTTTCTCAGAAACTTATCCTGTGTATTGAGTGAGTTTTGAAAATTAGATATGCATGTGGAAAATGGAGAAACTTGTCTAAATAAATGGCCTAAATATTTCAGCATTTTAATTGTAAAGACAATGAAGGACAAGCAATAAAAAAGCAAAACCCAAAGTGAGTCTTTTAGAGGCAAAATTCCAAGCTTTATTTAGAATGGTTACAGTACGATGTACATATTGCAGATTTCTATGTTAAGATGCATATAATAATGTCGATTATTGACAATGACAGCATTGCATGGGCTCTCTACTCATTACATGTTGTTCCTTAGTACACATGGGTTGTTAGTAGTAGTCATAGTTGACGTTGGCACCATGCCGGAAAGAAGCGGAGTCCCGGGGTCCGATCGGGGCGTTCTCATCATAATGGTGCTGACGTCCCTGGTCATGAGCACGAGAGTAGTCCATCCAGTAGGACAGGTCAGTCTCTAATCTCTACGGGCCCAACAAGAAAAGGGAATGTAGTGTATCACTAATATTGATATCTCATAATATTGACACCTTTGATATCGATAATGAATTACCAATTATAAAAGCATTGCATGTTCTCTAGTGGTCTATCCCAACCCATGGAACATTCTTTAAATATTAGTACTATAGATTAGTGCAGGGGTCTCCAACTCCAGTCCTGGAGAGCTACTATCCAGTAGGTTTTCTATCCTACCTGGCTTCTGATGAACCACAACAGTTCTCAGGAAAATACCAGGAGCAGGTGTGGCTCATCAGAAGCCCGGTAGGACAGAAAACCTACTGGATAGTAGCTCTCCAGGACCGGAGTTGGAGACCCCTGGATTAGTGTTTCCCAATCCGGTCCTCAAGGACCCACAGTTAGTCCATGTTTTTGTTCCCTCCAAGCTTCCAGGAGAGCAAAAACGTGCTGTCTGCAGATCTCTGAGGATCAGATTAGAAAACACCGCTCTAGATAACATTAAAAGGCATGTGTTTATTATCAAAATACCCTGTCTCCATTCTGCTACCCCCAGAGCCTGCAGTGATGTGTTGCAAACATCTAGTGGAGTGAGAAAACTGCTGACAGGTTTCTGACAGCCCCAGACAATGCCCGTGGCCATCATCAGCATGGACAGAGAAGCAAAATGACACGGCCAGTGGGGCACTTAGCTCAGGGCTACCCAATAAAGGGAGTCATATCACCCCTTCTGCTTTATAACCAGCTGGTCAATGTTACTGCTTCTCTCTTACTATGGTTCACTTAAAAAATTAACTTTATGGGAGCAAGCATCTATAGCCTGCGCACCCTCTGCCCTGGGACTCTGACTAGAATAACCAGTTGGAAGATGGATGGATAATTTATTAAAACTTGAAACGCATTGAGATCAAACATCCATTGAAAATGGCACGTGTTGACTTCTTTCAGGATGCCTAAGGAATACTAATTACACAAAACCAGTAATGCATGTTGGTCTAGACCAGCAGTGGGCATCCTATCCAGAAAGGGCCATTGTGTGTGCAGGTTTTTGCTGCAACTCCCTAATTAGAGTACTAATTAGAGAACTGATTGGCTAAAGAGTCCTGGGTTTGTACAGCAGACCTAAAGGTTATCCTAAAACCATGCTTATACTATATTGCCGATAAGATTGCCCACCACTGGGCTAGACATTAGTAATGGACAAAATGATGCTTCCTGGATGATCCGCTGTATATTTTGACCCCACTAGATAGTGAACTTGCTTTGCTTTGGGGCATGCTTCTTGTGCTTTTTAGAACAAAGAGCACCATCTAGTGGGGTGAAAAAAATACAGCAAATGGTTCATGAAGCATCATTTTGTCCAATACTACTAGACAGTATGTATAACTTTACAATAAAGTCATTTAGCAGTTGCTTCTAGCCAAAGCAATAAACAAATGAGAATTTGGGGTCAAGGGCCTTGCTGAAGGGTCCAAAAGTGAAATCATTCTGCTGACTCAGAGATTTGAACTGATGAACTTCTGATCATGGGCACAGAGCCACACACCACCCAGCAAGAATACCTTGCTGAATATACATACTTATATAATTCTAACATTTGCTTGCATGTGAACGCTCACCGCCTCATCATAGCCCATGTGCATTAGCTGCATGATCCACTGCTGCACGTCAGGTCGGCTGCGGTCCCACACGTTTCTTTTCGGCCTCCTCACCAAGAAGCCGGCAGCATCGTGCGGCGAGACAGCCACCGCCATGGGCTTAGGTTCTTGAGATGCTGCAAAGGTTAGGGGCCTCGGGTCAGAGTTAGAAATAGTCCCTGGTTTGGCCTGATTATGTGCGATTTCACAGCGCTCAGAGCTATGTCCCGTCGGTTAACAGTGTCTACATATAATGATGAATTTAAGCTGTCCTGACCGCCTGCACCATCAACATTGATCGTTCTTGCAAATATAAACAACACTTTCCTAATGATGATACCATATCTGTCACTATTAATAAATAACCATGGCACCACCTGAGACCCCGAACTGGGTAATTAAGGTCCAGCTAAATCACCAGAGAAACCAGCCCATAAATATTATTCTTCCTCATATAAAGAGTGAATCTCTAACATGTGAGATCTTGCAGAAAAATTTGAAAGTACATTACCTTCTCTTTTAGCCAAGATTTTTAATAGCTTGCTCTCACTTGAAACATCTGGAAAGTACAGTACACAAGAAGTGTTTAGGAACCAGCCCAGCTTCTCTGTCTATTAAGAGTAATCAAAACAGTTTAAACATCTGGGTCATTAAAATAGCTTAGCTGGAGTTCCCTAGACTGGGTAGATCTCAAGAAGACAGGAATGGCAGTGAAAATAACTGAAAAGCTAAGAAATTACTTTTTAATATAGGAATTTCCCAGTTAATTATCGATAAACAGGTGAACAAATTTTTTAATGTCACAATCATAAGCCATTGTTTAAAATCCTTAAATGTATACATTATTTAGATTTGATACTTATTAGTTTATTCATTTGTGTGCATATTTCAATAAAAATAGTCTTTTTTTTTAAGAAATAATAACAATCTTTTATTTTACTATAGTAAAAGTTATTAGAGAATTCCAGCCAAATTATTATTAATTATTGCCAAATTAATTTTTTCAATTTAGTTTTTACATTTGGCTTTCAAAGTATACATTACTTATTGTACTTATTATGAAAAAATGTCATGCATTATAATTTGACATTTAGAACGATTTTCATTATATTTAAAAATTATCCAGCAGAACCTCAGTTAGTTTGCACTCAGATGCATTTAAGACCTCAGACGCATTCAAGTCATAATGTGCAATGCATGGATGGATTTGACTGGATTTTTCTGGTTTGTTTTGCACTCCTCCACAGTCTCCCAGCACTCCCACTTAAAGGGTTAACACACACACACCAGTACAACTTCAGCAAGGTGCAGAGAGAAAAAGCAGCAACATGCTCTCTGGTTTTGCCACCATATAAAAAATTAAATCTATCAATCCCCCTCCCCCTCATTTCTACCAGTTTACTTGATGAGACTGTGATTGTGTGTCCATGTTAATCTCCAGTGTTTGCCTCATTTTGCAGAATTGGAGCAGCGTGGTTACCTGAGAAAGCCAGGAGGGACAGCAGCGTGGTTACCTGAGAAAGCCAGGACGGACAGCAGCGTGGTTACCTGAGAAAGCCAGGAGGGACAGCAGCGTGGTGAGGAGCAGAAGATGCAGCCAGAGTTGCTTGGGAACCATGGTCTTCTTCACTGCCTGGACTCGAGTGCCGTTTCGGAAGCGGACAGGGAAAGTGCTCTTAGGAGGATCTAGCGAACATTCCTGGAGCAGAACAAGTCACAGCTGGCATAAGTCCATAAATTCAAAGCCGACTACAGATTGTCAGTCTTTTCAAACCGAAGCTCTCCTGTCTTTTTCCCCCGAAACACCAACTTGAAATAAATCAACACCTTCTGTCACCTGCTGACTGGCAGAGCAACATGTTCTTCTAATTGCATTCCTGTATTTCTTCATGATCAAATTCCATTGTTTAGTTAAGTCAGTCAAAATTACTATTACATTTTTTAACAGTACAAGGGTAAGGTGTTTCTGGAAAAAAATACGAATCGCTTATATGCACAAAAAAAAGGAAAAATATATTTTTTTATTCGATTCACATAAGTGAGTTGGCAACTCTGAAGTCGCTGATTGTGAGTTAGGCCCCATAACTTATAGTGCATAGTTTATTTTCTCCTTTTTTCCAGTACCATTAGAAATTGTGTAGCCGCTTTATTAAGTTGCACAGTCATGTACAGTAATTACTAGGCAGTATGAGATCAATAGTGACATTAATCTGGTTATTTGAGTTTAAGCAAATGTTAGGTACTGTTCATTAATTAAGTAAATCATTCCCGAAGTGGCATTCCCCCACAATGAGATTAATCTGCTTGTTTGTCATTAGGATAATTACTCTATTAGTCTAAAAGGAGCAGCGTTAACAAGGAAAGCTGTAAAAAAAAATGCTTAATCCACTTTTACTGAGAAAATCAATAAAATATCCCAAAGGCTGCTTATTGTGTACAGTTCTGAGTACAATACAATATTAGCTACTAGTAAATAAAATATGTCTCATCACCCAAGGCCCAAGCAAAGCGTTCTACAGGGTGCCCTTTCAGCATTAGATTCAGTTCTTTTATTTCCCATTTACACTCTGACAAATTCCTAGAAATTCAATAAAATATATTGTACATGATTATTCATTTTTAATCGTTCAACTCTCTCCAACTTAAAAGCAATTTTTGTGGCAACTGTCTTTTGTTTCTTCACCCCAAGCTAAAACAGATCTGCTTAACACGTTCCATCTTCATCCAGCTGTGGTTCAGCCAGCAGCCATTAAATGAACATTTCTGGCACTTCACCGATGACATGTATATTTCACTTGTGCTGCATATCAAGTCCTCGATGTGGGAAGTTGTTGCTTAGCCTAAGTCATCCAGGCATAAAACTTCAGCCTCATTCAGGCATAAATGCCACATTATTGGGCACAGATTTTTGATTGATCACTACAGTGGGTTTGTGTGCCAAGACTCCCTCCAATATATATATATATATATATATATATATATATATATACACATACATACATACATACATACCATGGGATTTGAACCAACAACCACCCAGTGACAGACACAGCACGCTAAACCACTGATCCACCCACTTAAGCAAAGGGATGCTTAATGCACTTTTACTCTGCAAGAAATCAGTAAAATATCTTGACTGCTGGCTATTTTATGTGGCAGAATATTAGCTACTAGGAAACAAAATACACCCCAGGACCCAAGGTCCAAGCAAAGCTTATACACTGGATGTCTTTGCATCATTGTATTCAGTCATCTTATTTTCCATTCACACTTTGACAGACTAAAAATGAAAAAAAGAATGATATACAGTACATTATTCCTTTATTTTACCTGAATTCCTTTTCGGCAAGGTCAAGTCGATTTCTTTTTAGTTGCAATTCTTTGCCTGATTTCATTTTCACCTTGGTTTGTTACTTTCTACTAATTAATAAAAAAATGACAATGGAAAAACAGCATGTAAAAGAACATAAGACTGTGACTGGGGTTTGGTTCGAAGTACTGTACATGGTTGAGTGGCTAAAAGAACATGCATATCTGGATACATTCTCTAACCCAATTTAAAAAATGGAAATAGAACTGTTTCACCTTTATCTCCACTGCAAGCTGGTTCAAAATCAGACCAATGGTCAAAAAGACCACTGACCATTACTCTGCCTTAGTAAGAAACACACCAACAACACGTAGTAAGAACGTTTTGTAGATACAACAGTGAAATTACTCAATATCCACTGAGTAATTGCTGTATCCAGGTGTGCAGGAGCCCTACTCTTTAAGAATCACCATAAGGGTTAGCAGCAGAAAGGCTTCCTTTAATGAAGGGTAATTTACTAAAACAGCTTGCGGTCCCATATCCATCTAAAGATCACAAATCTTGGGGGGGGGGTTCCTCATAGTTCTGAGTGTCCTGTTTATGGGCTGCAGATATACAGTCAGCTGGATCCCAGGTGGAAAATGACTGGGGGGCGGGGGGTGTCGGAAAAAAACTAGATGCTGAACAACAAATAATGGCAGAATCCTTCACCTTCAAACCAGCCTACAGCCAACTGGAAAACATCAACAATCATGTGCCTGAGACTTCTGGCATAAAAACGGAATATTAATTATAACACCACAGTAAGTACAACAACACAATGGGAAAACGGCATCACAGGAAAGAAAACAGCCAGGCGGCTCAAATGTATACTTTAATTTTCTTTGTTAAGCTCTCATAATACAATTAACTATTGTATCGCCACAAATATCATATATTCATATGTATAGTTCAAGAAAAAAAATCCCACTAGAATTTCATGTTTATTAAGCTTTGAATGATAAATGCGCAACTGTAGGCTTATAGCGATTGTTATTTATGAAATACCACATTCTCAACCACACCTCCTCCATTTCAACTCTTCCTCTGCAAACCAACTCCTTAGCTGTAATTACCCCAACGATCTATCAACACCGTATTGATTATCACAGGGGGCTCCTTTCCATATTCTCGCAGCAGTACATTCATTATTAATTCGATTGGCTGCTGGTGAAAAAGTAGCAGGATTCTTTATTTAGCCAGCAAAGCGTGTCCCTAAGACACGTGTGTGTGCGCCCGCGCGCGCGCACGCGTGCTGGGACTCAGCCGGACCCAGGTCACGCCAGTAACCTGCCCTCAGTAACACCGCGATCTATAGGCTTTATTTTCGTTGTACCGCGGTTTGATTATTCTGTTCACTAAGCCTGTAAAACGACACCTACACATGATTCTTAGTTTAAGCCCGTCGGGCAAAAATTTTCCTTATCTTTTGGAAGAGCTGCAACTTTGGCAAATGACGCGAAGGAGAGGTACATCTATGTCAGTATGTGTAAAAGATGGATCAGTCATTTAATTGTGGTGCAAAAGGTTGATTTCTGTTATTATTAAGGTTTATTGTAATATTTAAATATAATTTACATTCTCAGATGATTAATATCATGGGTTTGTCGACTGTGCAACACAATTAATATAAATAATCGGGTGCAAACTCAGATGACGAACATAAGCCACCCGACTATATTAATATTTAAATATGCAGCAGTCGGAACTGACCCAGATTTTGAAGTGTTCCTGAACTGCACTGAATGTAATTGGATATTTGACCCATGCGGTGAGACGATTTAAACCGATTTTGGAAGTAAAGCTGCCTTGAAGTGAGTTAGACTCAAGCCGTGTATTATACACTTCAGTTCCATACGTTTATATACATTTCTGTTGAGCAGCTGCCCCAAATTCTAGGACACGTTGCACACACCACTGAGGAAGAAGGGCATTTTTCTAAAGACAGACAGGGATTCGTGTCAGAACCGTTCGACTGAGTGATATTTATCACTGGGGAGAAGCAGACGGGCTTCTCTATGACCTCATCCCATTCCAACCAGACGGATGGCAGGGAGGCTTGTAAGGACGTGCTGGGATTGGGCTGGGGGTCATCCCGACGGCACGGAGATCACAGCCTTTGGCTCTTTTCCAAGCTCCTTTCTCAAGTTTCGCAGTGCAGCTTCCGGCGGAGCGTGTCAGAGGCTGACAGAGCAGCGGGTACAGAGCTGAAGCACGACAGGGAAACGGATGGGGAGGAGATGAAAGCCAGGTGCCGCCGTCGACCACGTGAGCCCGGAGGACGGGTAACGGCACCCAGGGAAGCGGTGCTGCATGGAAGCCGCCTTTGCGCGGACCGTCCTTCACAGGAAGCTGCTTTCTCCCACGGCGCCTCGATTTCTCGCACCTCTGTGCCTCTAGCAGCCAGCTGAAAAGGACCGTTGTTAGACGCTACGAATTCCCTCTGAAAATCAAGCTCGTTTTGAGACTTTGGGTGCCTAAGTCATGTTCATAGTGCAACTGCAAGTAACTGCTTTATCCTGAAAGCCAACCTGACAATTCTCTCAACTTACCTATTCAGTATTGCTATAATTTAATTATTATTCAAAAGGGTCAGATTTATGCTACACCAGCTACTTCAGTGGCACGAAAAAGAGGCAAAAGATTTCACTTCCACCCTCTGTCGTCATGGCAACATCACTGGAAGCAGACACAGCACGACGATACCGCACGAGTTCTCACTGACAGCGCACGCGATCATCCCGTGCCAGCACTCGTGCCAAAGTCTCGTTCTGGAAACAAATTGACATGAAGCTCACAGTGATGCCCACAGTTCCACGCCGCACATTGGGAGTGAAATCGACAGACTCTTCCTGTACACGTGGAAGCATCTCTGCTAATCTTAGATCAAGAAGGTAACACTCAATATTAAGACCAAAAAAAAAATTAAAAATTGGAGCGCCCCCTTGGGGCCAGAACTGAATACGTTTGAACCAAAAGATCATGCACAGCCCCCTGTACCCACTGGCCCAACGTATTTTTATTAAATAGCCTTTAATTCGACTCCCAATGCAGGTGTTACAAAAAGTGTCAGTTTCATAGTTCTCTGGTGACAGAAAGCTCTGCGCGAACAGAGAAAATGCTGTGTCGAATATTTTGGAAAAAAATTTAATTGAACAAAAGTATTTTAGTTCTCAACACACTGTCAAAAGGTACAGTACCTTACACTGCTGGATCTGAACAAATCTATATTTGCACCTCATGATTTAAATATACATACAATGGAAACAAGAATTAAATAATAATGCTCAAAAACATCTAAAAGATCTGGGAAACCAGTTGTTCAGCAGACTCTTGTAGGTAAACAGACATTGCAAATGTAAATAAGAATTTCCTTTTTCCTTCCTCCTTAATACAGAATTAGTGTAGACAGTCAGTTTTAACTGAAAGAAACGAAACAGAACCATGGTGCTCGAGAGCAGTAGTGCACAGACAGTATGAGGGCGGCACGTTTGGTTGTACTGACAGACATTCAGGTCCCGACTGGGAGGGGTCCATTCTCCCCACCTCCCGAAACTCCGCAGGGTGGGGAGCAGAGTCGGTTGTGTCGTCCCGCTGCACAATCTTGAGGCGCCTTAAAGCCTTAGCGTGCTGTGTTCTGAAGTGCTGGGCGGTGCGGCATTTGGAGTTTGGCGTAAAGCCCCAGAAGAGGCGGAGGGGGGTCCTCAAATAGACGGCGCTTAAAAGTGCCAGAAATATCCCGCAGCCACATCGGTGCTGCACAGAACTGAAACCACGTACTAATATCTGTGTCATATCAGTGAGCGTTACCAACTCTGCCTGCGTTTACATAATAAATGAGAAAAAAAAATCCTCAAAGACTGGATGGTTCCGATGTGCAGGTGACGTCAGGTTTGGCTTGGAGGGGAAGTGAGCGCAGTTACTCTAGTGCGCCCCCCAGAGGCTAGACGTAGAACAACACTGCCGGATGAAAATATCCCTGCCGTCGGAGCGAGGGCTGGAGCACGCACATGCAGCAGTCACTCGGTGAGGGCACTGTCCTTGATCTGTTATACAGAACTCAGGAAAGGGTCCAAAGAAGCAAAAGGCCCAAAAGATAAACAGGCATATGAGACACTTAAATAAAACTGACTCAGCAACAGACTCAGCCATGGGCAGGGCCGCGTGGGTGGGGCCTGGCCATGCCGCCAGTCAGCTGTTCTTTACGTTGGTCGACCAACCCGGGTGAAGAAAAAAAAAACCAGGAAGGAAGGGAGCGGGCAGGAAAGGGCTCATAGACACAGCTCTGACTGGTCGAGGTGTGGATTCTGACAGGGCAGCGTCCTGGGGGGGTGGGGTGGTCACAGCAGCGGCTTGATGAGGTACAGCTTGTCGCCACGCTCGCTCGTGAAGATGGGCGCCTTCTTGTAGTGCTCCAGCAGCTCGTCCATGGTGCTAAAGCGCCTCTGGCCAATACAGAAAGCGCCCTCCGACAGCTGCACCTTGAAGTGCTTGTTCTTCCCCGGGGCCTTCAGGGACACAGAGAAGTCACTGGGCTGGAAGGGGGGGCGGGGGGCGGCAAGAGAGGAGGAGGGAGAAGGTGGAAAACTGATCAGATCAAGGACCTTGCCAACCTCACCCCAGGAATTGAGTTATTTAAATTCTTTGCTGTTATTCTAATATTTTGTCAACATCTAATTTAACCCAATGGGGATTAGCAAAAGAAGACACAGTCTAATTGGTGATGGACAGAGAACATTAACCCCACTAACCTCAACCAAATCCTCCAATGAACGAACACACACACACACACGCACGCACGCACGCACGCATGCACGCACACATGCACGCACACAAACTCGCACTACATAAGGTGACAGCTTAACTGACAGCCAGGAGAACACACTTCACAAATTTCACATTCACACCAGATGGGGGCACCACACATTCACAGGTTTATCCAACTGCTGCTGGCTTGTGAGGAAACGCTCCGTTTCTTTTTCCCAGGTTTTTACCCAACACTAAGTTTTAACAGCACGGTCTATAAATATACCACAAAAATAGGACACAACTAACAAATCCTATAAAAAGTCCCCTGAGTTTTACCTCAGCGACTCACATGAGCCTGATGCTGAGCCTTTAATGCATGTCTAATGAGCCCCACGTTAAACAAGCTCCAACAGAAATAGTAAGAATGAATGTAAAACTGTTCTTTTTAAATAAGTGTACAGGTGTAACCCAGCATAACACTTCACGCTCTCTGCCCTGTCATTTCAATTGTGTTTTCCTCATATCTAGGACTTAATGATGGTGTCTCAGTGGGTGGCAGTGCTTGGGGACTGAAGTCCCACCTCTGTGTTGCGTTTGCATGGAGTTTGCATGGAGTTTGCATGCCGTCTGCCCTCCATGCTGATTCCTCAGGGCACTCTGGCAGTGGCCTCCTCTCACAGACCAAAGACTAATTTGCAAGTAACGTCTGACACTGTATGGTTGTGCCCTGGGGGGGGGGGGGGGTGTTTTATGGTGTGTGGGATGTCTGGCTCATTGGGTTAGGCCTCTGTGCCTGTGATCTCTCAGCAAATTGTGGCATATCTCTTGGACCCTAGAGCAAAGCCCTCAACCACACACTGAAATGCTTCAGGGGTACAATATAACTGACTGACCTTGCAATCTGGCCCCAAATTTTGCTCACACCTGTACATATGTGTGCGTGTCTCACAAAATGGTATATGTGTAAATAATAAACTAAAAACACAAGTTGTACATTCCAGTGTACTTCTGCAACTGGTATTTTCATTTTTCTTGTTTTTGCCGCATGCTTCCACCGTGTTCTGCCTATGATGGTCTTTGCCCCCCCATGACCCTGACTAGTATAAGCAGCTAGAAAATGGATGAATTGATAGATATTTGGATGGACACTAACAACAATACCCCTCACATGTGCTGCATAAGCCCACCTACACCCCAGTAAGGAAAATCAAGCCTTTCCTCACCGAAGACTCACTATCCCGCACCAGGAAGTCTCCCTCCACGCCCCGCTCGTTGAGAGCGCACTCCGCCTGGTGCCGCGTGACGTTACCGTAGTACCAATCTTTGCCGGCGAACTTGCCGGTGCGTGAGGGCCCCGTGCGCCTGGCCTGAGGCGAGTGGAGGCCCCCAGTGGGCCCTCGGCCGTCGCTCACGATGGCCACGTAGTTCTTGGGCACCAGGCCCACCTGGCCGCGAGCGTTCTTACACTTCCACCACTCGGGGTCGTTCTGTGGCTTCTCCAGCACCTCCATGATCTCCCCTTTCTCAAAGTTCAACTCCTCGTCCGTCACCGAGCTGAAGGGGTACAGAGTTTGGACCACATGCAGGACCTTGTGGCCCTGGCCGTTGCTGACCGCCGCCCCCGGCCGCGAGGACAGGTAAGCGGGCGCCTCCGCCGACGCCTCCTCGCTCTCCTCCAGCACGTAGTTGGAGGGGAACCAGCCCACCTGGCCTGCGAAGCTGCCCCGCCACCAGCCGTCGCTGCACTTCTCCATCACCATCACGCGTGTGCCCTTCATCAAGGTCAGCTCGTCTTCTCGCTCTGCCACGTAGGAGAACTTGACGAGCGCTGGGATGTTGAGGTCATAGATGCGCTCGGCCCCGCTGCTCCCGTTGGCGGGGAACTCCGCCTCCGTGCTGGGCGTCGGCGAGGCATCGCGGGCGCTCGTCTTCCGCTTGGTCCGGCCCAGACCTGACGTGCGACACAGCCAAGGGTCGTTAGACAGTGAGAGACAGACAGAGGCCCTCGCATGCGTGTGTGTGCACGCACGCACGCGCACACACACACGCACGCACGCACGCACACACACACACACACACACACGCACACGCACGCACGCACGCACGCACGCACACATTGGTGTGTCCATCTAAAAGGGGACATTCCATTCATTTCTATGTGAAAAAACCTATTCCTAACCCCTACCCAGCCCTAACTAAGTAACCAAACAAAATACAAGACTTTTGGAAAAGCCATTTTTAGTTTTTTGATTGCAGTCACAGATTTTTATACAACTGGGGTCATCCATATTATGGGCCAGCGTACACAAATGCAAACACGCAGGGGTTCTTTTACATTAGATATTATTTATCATTTATTTACCACCCAAAGGGAAATTCATCAAAGTCTTAGGCAGTCAATGAATATGACGTCTAAATGATCTTCATGTTGGTGTAAAACTATGGTATGTCTGTCAAAGTGTGTCAGCTTTTCAAAACCTCCCCTAGTCACCCCGGTATCTGCAGCAAAAGTCACCCATGTGATACCCTTGTATTTTTTGACTCAAACACTATCTCACCTTGTTTCGTTAAACTGTGCCTTGTTTAATTATTTAACTCATTTAATGAATTGAGCTGCTGGTGAAGTTGAACAGATGGAATGGCTGATGTGCCTCCTTAGGGGGTTATGGAACCAAAGCAGTGCTGATCCTGCCATCCAACAAGGTATCAGGAACGTTTCAGTGAAGAAGTTGTTGTTTTTTTTGCTTTACTATTAATTTAAATACCTACTTTGACTTCCTAGTGCACATGCACAGCACTGCACATGCAGCATCAGACAGACAGAAGAGGAATTTGAGGTTAAGGGCCATGCTCTAGGGCTCAACTGTGAAACGTTTCAGGCAACCCTGAGAACTGAACTGGCGACCTTCTGATGGCAGCCTGTCCTAACCCACAGAGCCACACTCCACTGCCGGACCGGCAGCCATCCACCGCAGACAGGGATGCTGCTAGGGTTGTTTTGGGGGAGGGGATTTTAGCCCCAAACCTATAATAATTAGCTTAAACAATGCATTCTCATTCTTTTTAATTTAAATCCAACAGAATGTGACATTGCATCATAGGGTCAAGGGGTCAAATCCTAAATTCACCTACGACTATAGCTTTAGGTCCATCACATAAGGGAAAAAAAACACCCTGTGCAACCTCAAATCAACCACTAGAGGTCTCATTTCTCTGAACGTGATCCCATCTATCCAATTTAAAAGGCCACAGGATTACGGAACTGCATAGTAAAAATTGACTTTGCATTGATTGTAGTTAAATTTGAATAGGACAGCCTTTCTGCAGTGGAATGACGGGGGGGAGGGGGGGGGGGGGGGGCAGCTAGGTAGATGCTGTTGCTGGGAGACTCCCACAGGCTTCGTCATTCTCACACGGGCGACAGCTCGCACAAAGCTTCAAAGGACCTGTTAGCATGGATCCTGGTTTTTCCATTTGGGGGGGCATGTCCCTTTCTATTCCTCTCCATCATCCCTCGTTTAATATTCCCCAGATTACGCTCACCTCCTTGCCCTTGGGATTCCCCACTTTCAAAAACGGCAGAGGACAGACACGCAAAACCACCTGGAACACCATACACACACAAACATGCTTCTCGTCCCTTTTGTCATCCTTCGTTATCTTTTATCTTTGGTGCGTCAGCGCGGGTGGTCGTTTGCCAGAACCGCTCGATGCCCCCGCGGCAGGTTCACGCAGAGGCCGTGCTCAGAGTCCTACCAATGCTCACAAACCAGTCTAGACCATAATTATTGACAGTTTTCACACATTACCGAACCCCGTCCCAGTGCTTATTCTGCTCCAGCACATGGGTCTTTTAAATTCCGCTGCCCTTTTTCACCCCCCACTGCGAAGGACATCCCTGTACGGTCGTGTTCCTTTCACCTTAACGCCAAGGGGAACCATCTATATTCCCCATTTAATTAGCTTTCGCTAATAAAATGCTACGCATCAGCCCATACGCACCGTAAATGGCTTTAGCGAGTCACTAAAATGTTTAGCCTCTGGAGCTTTTTGTCACTGGGCCGAATGTGTATATTAGAGGCTGCTGAGTTAGCAAATGAATCAGAAAAGGAATGAAGGCCATCGACAGCCTGAAGAGACTCATCGGCTCTGGTGGCTGGTGTCAGAATGGACAGGCACAGGCCAGCGGTTTCTCCCAATGAACACTTTTGTTGTGTAGCAGGTACTTAAAAAGGTGTCATCAGGAGGTTCTTTCCCTAACATCTGTGCAGGGCAGGAAAACCAGCTCTCCTCCTGTCCAGCGGGATGGGAGGAGGCGGGACCAGAGGGGACCACCCACCTACCCATCCACCATCTTCACACAAAGCCTGCTGAGATCCCATATTCACACACCTACCATGGCACTTTGTGTTAGATGGAGCTCTTAAAGACGCACAAAGTCGCACAGCATTAACGCACCGCAAAGAGGGTGCATAAATCAGAGGGAAAACCTGAAATGATTCAAATTAACAGCAATTTGCTGGAGTGTACCCACAATTCCTAGCAGTACGGTACTCGGAGAGGAATGGTGTAAATGACTGCCAGGAAGATGAACACATCTCTGTCAAAGCAAGACAGATGTTACCCCCATACGACACGCTCGGCATACATTTTTCATACACCTCTTTAAAGCTTTCGCAAAAAAGCCCTGAAAATTAGCTAATGAATCATAAAACATCCACAGGAATCTAATAAACTGAGGCAGAGATTAACTCCCCCACCCCGAATCTCCTTTTACTGCAGTGACCATTTTCGCAGCCGGCCCCCCCGGGGTTTGTAACAGGGGCGAAAGAGAAAAGCGCAGAAAACTGCAGCTGGACACGGAGCCACCGCAGAGCGCTAAAAGCTCAGGGCGGCGCGGGAGAGGGCCCCGCCCAAGTCATCAGGGGCCAACACGGCCGGCTCATGGGCCCCGGGGAAGGAGCCGCACAGATCGAATGGAGGAGGCGGCGTCTTGGATGACAGCACACGATGGATCGGTAGCCCGGACCAAAAGACCGTCCAAGTCAGCACCCCCACAAGAGCATTTCCCACACTGACGGAAAAGCTTCAGTAAACAGCCCCCCCTCCCAACCAAGAAAATGGGGGGAAAAAGGCAAACGTGTCTTCTTCGTGGGGGGGAGGAGCAATGGAAAAGTGCGTTATTTTCAGACACTTCCAGCGGTGAGCCCCCCCTACCAACCCTCGTTCTGCACGCCATGACAGCAGATTCATGTTCTGCATCTGTAATGAAACTAAGCTCCTTTGATGTACGTTTAAACCCACGGCAGGCATGTCAAAGGCACATTCCAATCCTTCCCAAGCAGAACAAACTCACAGAATGCAACTAAACAAAAAAACTCTAAGCAAATCAGTTTTACCGCACAGGTTTACATTTTTGGAGGAAAAAAAAAGCACAAACGGCTTCAGACTTAGACTTACTGACATTTGCAGGGGTGCTACTTAAATTTATCGCAATTTAAAATCTTGGCACACTTCTGGTCATGATGCTTATGGCTCAGGACAAAAAAAAAACAAGCCAGTCTGCCATCTCCACCAATTAGGTTACAGCATAAGTAGCAGCAAGTACTGTGCAAGTATTATCACCCTGACCAAGAAATCTGTGTCACTCTTTATCAGAGCTCAATACAGGCCCGGCTCACAATGCATCAGTTCAGGAACACACTGAACCGTAAACCCAAAAAGACTGGCAAAAAAACCCCACCTCACATCTCACATCCTACCAGGCTCTGCAGCATAAGAGCTCTTAAATGAGCCAATAATGTAAAAAACAGCTAGAAACGTCTCTGCAGAAACCATCTACTTTCCATTTCATTTCACTCTAGGTGCTGAAACGGGGAAAAAATCTAACATTATAAATTCACAATTTGCCTCACTGAGAATCGTTGTGTGTGTGTGTGTGTGTGTGTGTGTGTGTGTGTGTGTGTGTGTTTTAAAGGTTAATTAGCACCAATTTTACTTCATTATCAAGCAAAATTTTCCAAAGGTTTCAGGCTGTAAAATGTAACCGAATTATCTTCTCCCAGCACTTCCTGTAGTGTTATTTTCTGCATTTGGGGCGTATGCTAATCCACTCTCACACACGACAGATAGGGAAAGTGCTTATATTTCAGAGGAGGCCGTTATCAGGCCAATCTACAAAGGGCTCTGCTTACGAGTCTGAACCGATCACCATTTGGTGCCAATTACGCAAGCCCACCTCTCCCCTCTAGAGGGAGCACTACTGGGAATCACCAACAAAGAGGCTTTGACCTGTAGAATTGTTTGAGTCGGGGCAGATTATACCACTTTCTGTGACCTTTGTTGAAATTTTAAATCGGTTTATTTTAGACAAATGGCTAAAAATAGTATAGCAAGGGTGATGTTGACAATTTTACCTTTAAGGTGCCGTGATGCTGGATAGATTCATCACCCCGGAAGCCCGACTGGCCTCCGAGAGGTGAATACCCAGGGTGGGGGCAGCCCAGTGCCTGCAAAGCCATCTGGATTTTTTTATGAACCCCCCCCCAACACACACACACACATTTGTAATTATACCTTTGTAGGGACTCTCCATTCATTTCTATAGGAAAAACTCTAATCCCAACATGAGGACCATAACCCCAACCCAGCCCTAACCTTAACCATAAGTAACCAAACAAGATATGGGGCTTTTGGCATTTTTAGTTTCTTGACTGCAGTCACAGACTTTTATAAAACTGAGTTTCTCCTTGTGGGAAATGAAAAGAAAAAGGTCCCCACAACACCAGAATAACAGGTTATCAATGTAGGACATTCAGTCCCCACAATATAATATACACAGACACACACACTCGCACGCACGCACACACACACACACACACACACACACACACACGCACGCACGCACGCACGCACACACACACACACACACACACACACACACACACACAC